TAACGGTTTTTGTGACCGTGATCTGGTAAGCTACACGTCTATTATATAGTTATTCAACATAAATACTGCCGTTTCCTTCTTCGTGCATGCACTCATCGTTTACGCGGGCGTACTCAAGGGCGCATATTTTCATTCAAAACAGACCAATGAAACACGCAAGGTAGTAATCATTTTAATCACCCCCGTATCGCGTGCACCACGTATGCATAATTTAACTCTGCCAACCCAGTCATTTCACCTGTTCAAATACCAAGGAAAATGGTTTCTGTTGCGTTACTGATGTCGGTTTGTGGTACGTTTGGACAATAATAGGCATTTTAAATTCATGTTTTAAAATTTGGTATTTAGTGTATATGATGTAATGTTTAAGAACTCATTAAATGATCCCTTGAAAAAATGAAGGGAAGTTCCAATTTACTAAGCTTGCTCCTTCCAAACTTTGTGATAAATATACATAATATAGAAGTAATTCATGTTTTTGTTATAATTTATAAACATATTGTTCTAGTAAACCACATATTTATAATACTTTGTATTTAAAGGTAAATTTGGAAATTGGGCGCCTCTCTGGTTTCTGATATAAACGATTGAATCGCATGTTTTTAATTGTAAGTGAATTTCAATTATTTGAAGTCATTTGTAAATTTAATGTCATTTTTCTAATCACATTACATCATTTATTTTGTTTACTCTTATTATACCAATGTTAAGACTTTTTAAATATTTCATATTTAAAAAAAATTAGGATAAATTGGTTTTAAGTTATTTTCGTTAAATATTTCATTTCAATGAGTTTCATACACTTTATGTCATTATTAATTAATAACATATTTTTACAATGAATTCCACACACAATTTTTCTTATTTACTGTTGCACTGAAGACCCACTACGCTAGCCAAAACTCTTTAAGCGTTTTTAAAAAGCGAGAAGCAACTATGCGAAAACTAAGAGATTTAATTGAAAAATTCCCTTAATTTAAAATGGTAAAAAAACATCAAAATTCGTTTCAACATTTTTCCACGCTTCCGTGCACGATGTCTGGTCGTGTATATTAAATCTGTAATGAAGTCAAAAACTCTGAGATAAAGTATTTCTTTAACGTTTCGTAGGCAAATTTTCATAGCATTTTCTCATTCCTAGGAAATACCATGATAATGAGAAGCCTTGTAAATGCGTGTGTAAGTAAGGAGAGAGGATAGGACAAGGAAGAAGTAGGAAAGATCCCGCGCGGTCCATAGCCAGTCGTTTAGGTTACTGCAGCGGCATTCACCTGGTATTGATCGGTGAAACGAGGGAAAACTACCGATCCCGATCAGAGCAGTCGTCCACCAGAGTTCTCCTCCAGGCCGCGACTAAATTCGGCTGTATAGCTTGTGCCTAAAGACCTGGATTCGAATCCTATGATCTTCCGGACAGAAGGCCGCAGTGATATCAATTGATAATCCTGCGCAACGTAAGCCTGTTCAATTTAACTTTAAGTAATCGAATGAAGCTATTTTCGCTCATAAAGTAATGATACACAATGTACGGAATGTACATAAAGTCATCTGTATTTTATATTCCCAAATCGAGCCAGTAACAAATATACATATTAAATGTGACCCTCAATTATTAATTTCAATTGGGTTTTCTGTCGGGATTTCATTCTCAAATAGATTAAAGGCTAAAGATAGTTCCCGGTTTGGTTTATAAATTATATTATATTTTATATATATTATAATATATAATATATATATATATATAATATATATATACTATATATATATTATTATATATTTTATATAAATGATTTTTAATGGCTCTTCAGCGAAAGTAACAAAATGTTTCGTCCTTACTTGAGCTTAAATAAATTTGTAGTTATTATCCTTGTAGTTACGTCACTTGTTATTAATGTTAACAATAAGCTGATGTTTTACCCTGAATTGTGTGTAGGCACAGTTAAGCTCTACTTTGCATGGTCATTTGCTCACACGATAAACTCCCATGCAATGGAACCACCGAAAAGTAAATTACTTTATCATGTAGTCTAGGAAAGAAGTGAACTCCCGTGGATGTGTTGCAATGTAATACTTTTGTTTCCAAAAGGCAGAAATCGTTTTACGTCAAATTTCAAATTAAAAGTCAAGTGCATTTGATGCAATGTAATACCTTTCTTTCAAAAAGGCAGAAATCGTTTTATATCAACGTTCAAATTAAAAGTCATTGTCGAGGTTAGCGACGGACGTCGTCAATGTGCGTCATAAGTACCTGCGTTGTTTCACCGCGCACACAATATGTAAGAACGTGCGTTGTCCACGTAAAAGTGTCGGACACGTGGAAAGGCACGTGCCTAACAACTTTTTTTATGTGTGTGCCTGTGTAATGAACTTTATTTGTATGCTGAATTACACACTCACACTTCAGACGATTGTGAGAAGACTGACGGATTTTTTCCACAATGGTTTCGATTGGAATGCGGGGTAAAAAAACGACACATACTACTTCCATGGATGTTTTCTAAATTTATTTTTATAAGCTGACTAGTCTCATGGACTCGACAACTTCATCTCAATTCTAAGTCTTTACTATCCATATTTCGATAGCTCTGCAATGTGTGTTTTATAGCTGACGTCCGTCGCAACATAGACCGTGTGCAACAAGTAATAATTCTTTCTGAAGCTACAACGTGCATGAAAACGTACGTTGAGTAGCGATTGACGTCCGTCGCTAACGTACGCTAATTTCAACGCACGCAGCGCGCTCATGCTTACGTACGCTTGGGTCCCTTTTACGCTACTACTGACGCAATTTACCGACCGTCATTTGACGCTCGTGTGACTCTAGACATAAGTTGAATAGGTTGACTGAAGCTTCGTGGACGGGAGGTCTTAAATTACTGATATATATATATATATATATATATATATATATATATATATGTGTGTGTGTGTGTGTGTGTGTGTGTGTGTGTGTGTGTGTGTGTGTGTGTGTGGAATGGATGAGAATTCTTAGATGAGTATCCTACAGACCGGTTGCTGTGATCTGTACATATACTACTGGATGCATTTGTGTATATATCTCCATGTGTGCATCTGAAGCATCGTAGAAACTGCTAGCCAAATGTTAAAGCCTTATAGTCCTAACGTTGGCAGCGCCTTTATTTTGTTTCTAGATAAATGTATAACTGAACAATATAGAAAAATCTCAAATCATCTCCAATGCCCCCAGACTCATTGAACTTTCAAACCACATATTTTTAATTTTTCAAAATTAAATACTATTTTTGACATGAAAACTTCAACGACATTTTAAAATTTTGTCTAAATTACTCAAAATTCTTGTCTTTAAGAACAAGGGTCAGACTGAAAAAAAACACGTTGATGTATTCCCAAAGCCTGTAAATCTGTCAAAATCTCTCCATTCATTTTTTGAAGTATTAGAATAATTTTTCATGTGTACTACGTGACGGGGAAAGAAACAGCAATGAGTGCAATGCATTGATCCTGATCGCTTCGGTATAGAGATATGGCATGAATCACAAAACTTCGATGTTTCAGAACATTGATGTTCACAACTAAAATATATTGTTAATAATACATCGCCCAAAAATTAACGATACTTCTAAGCATACATGTTTTTTAAAAGTAGTTAATTATCATCTACCATACAAGTTTGCGCGGGGGAGGAGGATTAAATTTGTCAATGGCGGACGTTTATAAATTTATTATTTCCACGTTCTTTAGTCTGTCATAATTAATTATGGTAGAGTTATGCTCTCTTACAGACTAATGTTCTCCCTTCTAAGTTGTGCTTTTAAAGCCCTCCCCCTCTCCTTTTCTTGTCTTAACTTCCCCTGGCTCTCAGAACTTATTATTTCAACCTCTCTCACCAACGTATGAAAGTAAGTGTGACTGCCTGGGACCGTTAGCTGTAGAATGTCAATGTAAAAAACATTTGCTTTTGTGATCGCTCATGTGCCAGGTAAGTTCTTTCCTGTCGTAACTTCTCAACTTTAATATTGTGTTTTAAATCATTTTAAATTTGTACTACAAAATTTCAAAATTCAATTTTACAGCCCGATGATGGGGGCAACAATTCTCGAAACTGTTGCACGAATATAGAGTAAATTAAAGTTACAAGAAATTGTCTTTCGAAAAATATGGGCCCAAACCCTTCACAAAATCATTAATAAATTTATAATCAAGATTTAACTGGCAAAACAAGCAAATATAATAAGAACAATTCAAGTCTGATCGTTCAGGGTCACTGGGGCCAGAGCTTTCTCAGTAAGCTGTAGAAAAATGGGTAGACCCTACACGTACGGCACAGGCGTTGATCGTCTCTCTGCTTGTAAAAAAGAAGAAAGGTGTAGGAATTTGCAGAGAATCATGGTCATCATGGAGATTGATCTCGATGATGATCGCGATGATTAAAAAACTTTTACTTTTTTTGAATACACAATTATTATTAACAAAACTTTGATTACGGAACGTTTTCATTCAGAAATTAAACATTGAATATGTAAAACCATCGAGCACAAGGCATCGATATTAAAAAACCATTTGCTTTAATAATAATAATAATAATAATAATAATAATAATAATAATAATATATTTATTTTGGCCACAATTGGCGTCTTTGCTAGTAGGTAGCCAATTAATTACACTCGATGTTTATCATCACACTCTGTGTGAAAATCAATCGATGTTTAAAAATCAAAATTCTTATAGAACTCCATCATCTTTATTGAAAATATCGACAGGTGTCGACCGATGACGGATTCTTACGTCGACGAGAATTAAAACTTTGCTTGACGTAAAACCCCACGTGTACTTCTCAAACTCCATATTATCAAGTATGCGATACAACTTGAACGTTTCGTAGTAAATTTTATGAAACAGAATACCAGAAATATTTAATACAACATGAGCTAATACTCTGTTATATTCTCTTTCAAAAAACATCTTTGACAATTTTTTTTTTTTTTTTTTTTTTTTTTTTTTTTTTTTTTTTTTACAGTTTAATACCCGCCTTGGAATACGTTTGTTCTAATTCCGTCCAATTGTCAGACGTATCAATGAGACTCGTCACACGTTTTCCTAGAACAACAACTCGACCGGCGGCAGGCGGACGAAAATCGAGAGAGCAGCACCGTCGCCACAAACACGAGCGAGGAGCAGCTCGTTCCTGTCGCCCACAGGACAAACGCCTGTCGTAGGTGCTGCGTGGCCAGGGGCGTGGCAGGGGCGCGGGGCGACCTGTCCTTGGCTGACGTGCAGGCTGAGTGGAAGCGACCTACAACAACGACAACGACAACAACAACAACAATAATAATAATAATAATAATAATAATAATAATAATAATAATAATAATATAACAATAATCATTACTAGTAGCCTGCAGCTATACGAATGGTTTTTCAAAACGTAACGCTCACAATGCTCTAAAACTAGAAATAAAATTCTGTGACATTCAATAATATTTTTTTCACAATAATAATAATAATAATAATAATAATAATACTTACACATAAAACATCATAACAGAAATTGGAAATTTGAAGGAACAGAAAGTACTGTAGGAAAGGTAAAAATAATGAAAAAAGATTACAGAGTTGCTTGTAAAGTGAAGTTACTCTAAAAAGGGTTCACTTTAATAGATGTGGGAACAAATTAACGTTCTTTTGGATGATGAAATTGCAAGTGATAGAGTCCACATTGTTTTTACAAGTGCAGAATTGAACCAACCGCAAAATAAGACGCGGACGAATTGAGACGTAACCGGCAGCTTATAAAGCCAGCAATAGCAATGGCTGCCAAGCGGTTCCTTCTGAAAGAAATCTCTCTATAACCAAATTCTACGTATTCAGAAGCAATATATAGGAAACAATGCAAACCAATGAAAGTAGAGTCGTATTGCACGTGCAGGGAGCAGCAAATTACAGTGAACGTTTCTTGAGCTCTCTTGGGAATGTAGATATTCGAATAATCGTTTTCCATTTTAAGTCAATTCATTCATGTAACGCACTAGGAATAATATCCTCTATCTATTGCTAATTTGCCCTTGCAAGTGTTTATTATACGGGATCGAATATTTTTTCAAATTAATTCTTGACAAAAACACTCGTTTTCATCATTCAACCTAATATGTATATGAGTTAGAATAAACATCCCAGTACTCAAAAAACCATACACATTGCACTTCTCCCCGTAATTGATGCCTTATTTTACGTAGTCTCGGGCCATCAGGCCCGCTCTTCCGTCTGACCACGCAAATTTCGCTATGCTCCTTTCACCAACTAGCGGTAAAAGAAGATACGAAACAGGCGATTTAGCTCAGAGGCGTCATTTAGGCTTGAAGATCTTTCACATGCAAGTAAATCTACTAACATGGAACAGCCGGCTTTACTTTCCCTCCGAAGGAAGGCGTATGAAGGGTATTTTCGCCCTTAAAATTCCCCGGCTTCGAACGAGTTTGAACCCTCTAACTTGGGTATAACAGTCAGATACGCTGACCGTTACACCAACCATAATGTCACACAATTTATCACTGTTTTTGAGGTTAAAATGTAATAATAAAGTGTACAGCTACCTATAGCGTCACGGAACTGCTCGTGCTTCAGCTTCAAAGTCAGCCCCGCCTCCACAAGTCGCTGAAGCAGCGTGTTGAACCGATGGGCTCCTCCCCAGCCTTTCCTCACCGCAAACGACATAAAGGCCGGACTCAGCACGCACTCACGCACGCGGTGGAGAACAGCGCAGCTGCCCGCGGCGACGCTCAACGTTTTCTCCTCGTACGTCAGAGTGAACTGCGGCGAGAGGTAGGCCGAACGTCTCGAAGCGACCAGCGTCTCCATTCGGTACCTGGTGGTGACCTTGCGCACCAACGAACCGATCGTCCCGTCGAAGGCGGAGAGGTGCTTCACGTGGGAGAGAAACCACCATGGAACAAACACGTGAGAGACCGCGGCGTCCACCTGCTCCAAAGAGTCCAGTTCTTTGAGGTGCCCCGGGGACACCATGGAGCCGGTGAACGACCCGGCTATGGTGTTGGACATGAAAAGGCCCAAGATGCTCAGAAACACCATGGTCGCGCGGAGTTTCGGGTGGAAAGACCCCGTAATGAACGTGCGAATCACTTGGAGCACCACAAACGAAATGGACAGTTTGCGGCGAAAAGCGGTTAATAACACAAACGTTAACAAGCATGCTGCTATGGTTAACCATATCGTGGGTGATACCCTCGACAGCATACTTCGTCGTACTAGAGGAGCTTTGGCCACCAGAAGGCAGATGGCGTTGCTTTCGTGTGGATACAAAAAAGTCACATTTTCGAGTACTGTGTTTCTGTAGTACAGAGGTTCCAAGTATATGTCTATCGAGCCTTTAGCGAGGTCTGAATAACCTCCTTCTAAAGATTTAGTACCATTTACTTCCACAGGTTGCACGTAAACCACCTGGCATGGAATACCACTGTACAAGGACAACATGTGTAATATCGCATCATGTCTGATGATAGTGCTTGCGTTTTTGTCGCACCAAAATTCGCTGAATCTCAAGAAATGTACACCGATTCGAACAGTAATATTCTGTTGAGTTGAACTCGCATTTTCATGGGAGATTATCTCGGTTTTTATTGCATCCCTGTTGATGTCCTTTAATATGGCGTTGAGATCTCCAGCAATTCTTTTCAAACCAAAAACTATTAAGATGATTACAGCTGAACTTCGAAGAATCATGACCTGTCAAAGAAGGACAAATTCACAATCACCCGATTAATCACAACAGAATTCACAGAAAAGGTGTCATTATAACAGTTTAAGTGTGTTATATACGATGAAAATATGTTTAAGAGTAACAGCAAATATTAAATTGTAGAGATCTATTAGATTTTATACTATATCAATCTTTCATTTGTTTTATGAAACATATTATGTTACGGTTATGTCCGACTTTGGCTAATTAGCGAATTAGCTCGTTAATGTTCACATTATCCAAAGACAATAGATACATTTCGAAGTAGGAACAGCTTCGAAGAATACTTCGGACTTAAGCCGGATGATGTGAACATCAGTGAACAAGATGTTACTACAGTTAGTGAAGTATAGTCCTGTCATACCAGTAGACGATTTTTGACAGGTTTAAAACAGTTGAGGACCGCTAAAAACCGCATGGCTCTGCCAAACGTATTCTTCAACGAGAGCTTTTAAGATTTCTCATCTGCACAATTTGGAATCTGTTCTTGAAGAACATTGTGTAAATTCAAACTATTTACTAAAATAACATCATTACATAAACTTGCTAGTTACATTTAGAGTGTTTTTTTCTCTATTTAGTGATTAAAGTAGCGGTTTGGCAGTTATAATATGTGTTGACTTTTCTGTCTATATACGTGCTAACAACTATCCAGTAGATTAATTGAAAGATGGTTTGTATGTTCACTTAGATTCTTTAGATACTCTTCTTTTCGTAATAAGTTTTTGATATCGAGCTCGGGTGCCAACTGTTAATGCCTCAAAGTGTCAGTTCATTGCAACGAGCTTGATTTATATAGACAGGAATTCTGTGCTTGAAGAAATTTGTATTACTGGCCACCATGTTTTCTGATGGCAGAAAAAAGTAAAGTTCTTGCTTAAAAGTACAGGATTTGTGCGTTTGTGGCATACTGTTTGTTGGTATACGACTCTAAAGTACTCACCTTTTGTAGGGCACATAATTTGCTCGCATAGAAGCGAGAAATGTTTTGGAAGCAGAAGGGAAATAATTTACTTTAAGTTTGCGAGAAATGTTTTGGAAGCAGAAGGGAAATAATTTACTTTAAGTTTGCCTAATGTACTATAATTATATTAATATTTACATAGTTAATTATAGAATTTACTATTAGTGGACTACAACTCAGTTATGTCCAGATTTATTATTGATATTCTGTAAGAACTGGTAAAGGTATTTATTACATTAAAATGTATCGAAATAGTTGGGACAAATTCGTTGAAATGTTTATTTTAATATGGAATTTTGCAAGACCGCGGTTTGGTCTCAAATTATTCTTAAGCACAGCATTTTCGTGGCAATATCAGTTTAATTTAACTCAAAATATTTTTTAATAATCGTGTCACTAAGAAGAGAATACAAAAAAGTAATTTGTACTACGCACAAGCAAAATTAAACTTAATATTCTTTAAACTAATCTAGACTAAACTCAATTTAGTGATTTGCATTGTTGTAGTAACATCACTAAAAGGAATGCAGTAATAATTGATGCTTTTTGTCGAAAGCACGAGAATATGTATGCGTGCGAATTAAGTCATCAAACGGATGTAAACGCACCGGCCATAAATATTGAATTTCAAAGAGTTCACTTTCAGAGTGTTTACTTTCATCACATCAACTCGCAATGAACAAAGGCTTAATGACAGAATTATAGATGAAAACAATATTGCTTAAACAGGAGTTTTTCAAGTGTGATTTTCCTGTACTCTAGCTACATTAATACTTCGATATGTTACGAACATTCTCCAGTTGGCGGATTACGAGTTCGTAACAAAAATAACTGGGAGTAAAAAAGCTCAATCACATGTTACGCAACGTTTGGGAAATTAATGCAAATCAACTCACTGTGATATTACTCGCGCAACTTTTCTTGAACGATGGATTGAAGAAATGCGAGTAGAGCGAGGGTATTAGTTAAGAAATCGGCCACGAGTTTTTATGAAGCAATGCCATCTCACAGTCGTGCCTTCTCAACTTTCTCAATAATTTGCGTTATTTCTCAGGAGTTCGAGGTATCTCCTGTGATGGATCTTCACCTACTTCGCTCATTTCTTTAGATTTTTTTGAGAAAATGAAGGACAGAAGTTTTCAGCAGCAAATAGTTTCTATTTCGCGACAGTGAAGATGTGTTTGGAATGTCATCAATGCTCGCTGCGAGCTTTTGCCTTCAACTGTCTATTGTGCCAAAGAGGGGGAAGCAAGGTCATTGTTCAAGAAAAGCAGCGCGATTAATACTAACCGTTACTCCCTTTCGTTTGTCATCAACGAGTG